CATTCCTGTCCCGGATCGCTGCACGCTGCTACCCACTTGGCATGGGGCCTTCTCTGGAAGTGAAACAACTGGCTTTTCCTGGACTCCAGCCTCTCGCCAGGGTGCCAAGAGCATGCTCTGCTCCTGACCGCTGGCTGATGAACCCTATTCTCCTCTGGGATCCTCTGCTGTCATGCTCCTGCAGTGACTTCTTCCTTTCCCAAGTGGCAGCCTATGCAATGGAGTGCAATGTGGTGCAGTGAGCTGGGCTTGCACAGGCAGCTTGCACTATTGCTCTCAGCGTGCCCTTTGCTCCCTGCACTGGATGGCAAATGCATTTTATGAGTTGGCCCAGCTGCAGCACCTGCCGGGTGGCATGGACTCGGATACCTGTACCTGCTTCAGGTTCTCCATAGAGCTGGCTCGGCCCAGTGCAGCCCAGCTGAAGGTGCTGGTGCCGAAGTTGTGAGCTGACAGAGGAGATGATAAGGACATCAGAACAGCTGTGTACTGGGCCAGACCCTCGGTCCGTCGTGCCCAGTCTCCTGTGTCACAGGGGGGCAGAGAGCAGAGGCTGGAGGGGGGGGAGCAGGGTCTGAGCCGGGTTTTCCCCTCTTCCTCTCTCCCTTGCAGCCTCCAGCATTGAAGGTCCAGGCCGTGCCCCTCACTCCCTGCTCAACAGTGCCCCTTTCCTCCAAGGACGTGTCCAGCCTCTTAATGCATCTGGCTGGACTCTCAGCTCCCACCGCATCCAGTGGCCATGAGCCCCACACTTTAATACCATGCTGGGTGGAAAAGAGCTCCCTGGTGTTCATTTTAAACTTACTGCCAACTTATTTCACGTGGTGCCCCCTCGTTCTTGTCTGATAAGAGATGGTTAATAATAAATCCCTATTGATTTTCCTTTTGCCATGTCATATCTAGTAAACCCTTCTCATGGGTTGTGGCCTGGACCATGCACCTTGCTGCTTTGCTACCCAGTAACACCCTCAGGCCCCCAGTGAGACCTGAGCAGTGCAACCCTGCAGTTATTCTAGCTTCGGTGTTGCAAGGGAGCATGCTTGCTGCACCTCTCCGCTGCTTGATAACTGATGCAGGGAGGCTTTAGTTGGAATAAGCAGCATTTGAGATGGAGAAGACCCCGGTGGTTATCTCTAGTGCATCCCCCCGGCTCCCTTTGCAAGTCTGGTGCAGAACAATGCAAAGCTTTCCCTGGGATCCGGACACTCACCTACAGACCAGTGCAGCAAAGGCACCTCGGTGAGCTGGTGAGGAGTGAGATCAGAGCTTGCAATGGCTGATGGACCCCGAAGGGTCCCCTGGGTTATGTGGCACCAGTTTTGTGCCCCCCTGTTGGAGCAGGGCACAGGGCTCCCTGCGTGCACACAACCCCAGTTTGCACAAGGCTTCCCGAGTGTGACTTCGGAAACTCCTTTGCACTGAGATCAGGACAGGGTGATGGCTGGCACGATAGTGGGAAGGAGCCGAGAAGCATATTCATGACACAGAGAAAAAGCCCATGTGCATCCTCTCCATCCCCAGAGAAAATCCCACCTCCATCCTCTATATAATCCCCCTTCAGGGATCTGATGACTGTTATGACATTCCCCCCTCAGAAAAGAAGATCAAAATGGGATTTGATGACAGTCTCCAAATCCCTGCAGGGAGATGACAGAGAGGATGGAGGTGGGCTTTTCTCCATGGCCTCGGGACAGGATTAGGAGCAGCAGCTTCCAGCTGCAGAGGGGAGACTGAGGCTGGAGACGAGGAACTTTCTGCCCCGGGGGGTGGTCAGGCATCTCCATCCTTGGTGGTGGCATCTCCATCCTTGGACACTTTCCAGAGCAGGTTGGGCAGACACTTGTCTGGGCTGGTTTAGTCTGGGATGCTCCTGCTTGGAGCAGGGGTTGGACTAGATGTGACCTCCCGAGGTCCCTGCAACCTGAATTTTCTGTGATTCCCTGGCTCCACTCCCTGGCCTCTTCCCTGCACTCTCTGCTTGGATAGGCAGTGTCATCCCCCCTCAAATCCCTCCTCCGATGTGGTGAGCAGATACTTCGCCCCCTTCTCCTGCATTGTCTCCACCCCAGAAGTGGCTGCATCTCAGGGGTGATTTGCTGTGACCTCTTTGCAATCTGGTTTGTGTGCTGGCGGATGGGCTCCCAGCTCCTGCTGGGGAAGGCAGGCAGCTCTGACTTACATAGGCCCTGACATCACGGGGTTTATTGTATCAGGGAATCACGACGGCTTTGTTAGGGAAAAAGTCCCGTCTCGCTGCTGAGCTGCTACCCTGGGGCTAGATCATAAAGCTAATGATCGAGAGAGGTGTTAAGCAAGGGCCAAGTCAATCAGCCTGGTAGCATGCGGGACTCCTCCTCGCAGCCAGACAGAGGCCGAGAGCCAGAGCTGGGCGAATAACAGGGTTTTCATTTCAGTAGCTGAACTGAAGATGGGTTAAAATAACTCCCAAACCTCATAACCCGTACCAAAAAAACCTGATTCAGGTGGAATCAAACAGACATTTTCCAGGGGAAAAAAACAGAAAGCTTTGGTTCAACCTGACATGCCTCCTTTGGCTGGAGGTAAAGATGTCCAGTTTTAGTTAGTTATTTTTTTTAGCAGAGTGGAGGTTTCTTCCCCTCTCCACTTTTGTTGAAATTACTATTTTCCCAAGACACCAGGTCTACCTCCCATAATGAATAGAGTTGCCAGGGTGCCTGCCTACCAAGAGAGATGCCAGGTCTACCTCCCATAGGGATGTATGGGGTTGATGGGTGTCTGGCTGGAGCACAAGGGACACCAGGTCTACCTCCCATAGGGATGTATGGGTTGATGGGTGTCTGGCTGGAGCACAAGGGACACCTGGTCTACCTCCCATAGGGATGTATGGGGTTGATGGGTGTCTGGCTGGAGCACAAGGGACACCAGGTCTACCTCCCATAGGGATGTATGGGTTGATGGGTGTCTGGCTGGAGCACAAGGGACACCTGGTCTACCTCCCATAGGGATGTATGGGGTTGATGGGTGTCTGGCTGGAGCACAAGGGACACCAGGTCTACCTCCCATAGGGATGTATGGGGTTGATGGGTGTCTGGCTGGAGCACAAGGGACACCAGGTCTACCTCCCATAGGGATGTATGGGGTTGATGGGTGTCTGGCTGGAGCACAAGGGACACCAGGTCTACCTCCCATAGGGATGTATGGGGTTGATGGGTGTCTGGCTGGAGCACAAGGGACACCAGGTCTACCTCCCATAGGGATGTATGGGGTTGATGGGTGTCTGGCTGGAGCACAAGGGACACCAGGTCTACCTCCCATAGGGATGTATGGGGTTGATGGGTGTCTGGCTGGAGCACAAGGGACACCAGGTCTACCTCCCATAGGGATGTATGGGGTTGATGGGTGTCTGGCTGGAGCACAAGGGACACCAGGTCTACCTCCCATAGGGATGTATGGGGTTGATGGGTGTCTGGCTGGAGCACAAGGGACACCAGGTCTACCTCCCATAGGGATGTATGGGGTTGATGGGTGTCTGGCTGGAGCACAAGGGACACCAGGTCTACCTCCCATAGGGATGTATGGGGTTGATGGGTGTCTGGCTGGAGCACAAGGGACACCAGGTCTACCTCCCATAGGGATGTATGGGGTTGATGGGTGTCTGGCTGGAGCACAAGGGACACCAGGTCTACCTCCCATAGGGATGTATGGGGTTGATGGGTGTCTGGCTGGAGCACAAGGGACACCAGGTCTACCTCCCATAGGGATGTATGGGGTTGATGGGTGTCTGGCTGGAGCACAAGGGACACCAGGTCTACCTCCCATAGGGATGTATGGGGTTGATGGGTGTCTGGCTGGAGCACAAGGGACACCAGGTCTACCTCCCATAGGGATGTATGGGGTTGATGGGTGTCTGGCTGGAGCACAAGGGACACCAGGTCTACCTCCCATAGGGATGTATGGGGTTGATGGGTGTCTGGCTGGAGCACAAGGGACACCAGGTCTACCTCCCATAGGGATGTATGGGGTTGATGGGTGTCTGGCTGGAGCACAAGGGACACCAGGTCTACCTCCCATAGGGATGTATGGGGTTGATGGGTGTCTGGCTGGAGCACAAGGGACACCAGGTCTACCTCCCATAGGGATGTATGGGGTTGATGGGTGTCTGGCTGGAGCACAAGGGACACCAGGTCTACCTCCCATAGGGATGTATGGGGTTGATGGGTGTCTGGCTGGAGCACAAGGGACACCAGGTCTACCTCCCATAGGGATGTATGGGGTTGATGGGTGTCTGGCTGGAGCACAAGGGACACCAGGTCTACCTCCCATAGGGATGAACGGGGTGGATGGGGTTTCTAGCTGGGATGAGAGGGAAATCAGGTGTACCTCTCACAGGCAAGAATGTTGAGATGCCATGTTTCCAAAATGCACCGTTCTCTTTTGTGACCAAATCTCAACATTTTTAAATTGTTTGCCTTCTTCCTTCACTCATGCACCTCTGTCTCTTCCCGCAGGACAGTGATGCTCTGCTCTTAGCCCCTCGGGCCTCATCAGGATGTCGGGAAACCCAGAGGCCCTGAGCCGGCTCCGGGGGACCTCTCTCCGCAGCCTGGGTGGGACCCTGGACTCCAGCCTGGTGATGGTGCCCATGGACCTGGAAAAGGAGGAGGTGCGCATCCTCAAGGTGTGCTTCTACAGCAACAGCTTCAACATGGGCAAGAACTTCAAGCTGGTGAAGTGCACCGTGCTCACCGAGATCCGGGTAAGGGGCGAAGCGCGGGGGCCGGGCATCCCAGCACGCGGGCGGGGAGGTGGAGCGATGAGATCCCAGGGACGTCCACATGCATGAATAAACCATGAGATGCTTTGCCAGGCCTCTGTGCACGATAGCCCGCTGGAAAGTAGCATAGCCAAGCCTGTCCAGACACCAAGGCCAACTACCATGGAGGTCTTTGGTACCAAAGCAGTGAAGGAGCAGTTCTTCCCACTGCCGGGAGCAGTAGGAGGTTGTTGCCCCTGAGGTCTGAGGAGCAGTGGGACAGTGCCTGACAGCCCAGCTCTGCTGCGGGTGGAGCTGGGAGATTAGGCAGTCCTGCACCCAGGGCAGGGGGATATGCTGGGAGGGTACATGCCGGAGCAGTTGGCTTTCAACCCCGAGCTGTCCCCGCCACTGACAGCCTTGGGGCCCGGTACCACATCCTCCGAGCTGCCCCAGAGCAAGCGTTGATGGAGCATTTTATGCCTCGGTGGTCCTGGGGTATGCAGGGAAGCCACAGGCCAGCCTGTCCTCATGGGCCCCCTGACCTGCCAAGAGGACTGTCTGTCCAGCCAGGCCCAGCTCAGGCCTGGTGACAGCACAGGGCCAGCTCCGCTTCGGTTGCAAGGTCAAATGGTGCTCTGGGTTAGCAGTGAAGGGGAGCCTGTATTCTCGGTGGCCCCAGGGGATGGGAGAAGACAAGAGAGGTTGCAAGGAGGATGGAGCTGGGCTGCTCTCAGTGGGGGCAGATGACAGGACAAGGAGCAATGGGCTCAAGCTGCAGCAAGGGAAGTTGAGGTTAGATATTAGCAACAACTTTCGCACTAGGCGGGTGGAAAAGCACTGGAGTGGGTTACCCAGAGAGGTGGTGGACTCTCCATCCTTGGAGGTTTTGAAGCCCCGGGTAGACAAAGCCTTGGCTGGGATGATGTAGTTGGGGCTGGTCCTGCTTGGAGCAGTGGGTTGCACTAGAAGTGACCCCCTGAGGTCCCTGCAACCCTCATTGTCTCCGATTCTACGACTAGGAGCAATGGGCTTAAATTGCAACCAGAGAAACGTAGGCTGGAGATGAGCAAAACTTCCTCGCTGTGAGGCTGGTTCAGCCCTGGAGCAGGCGCTGGCATTTCCGTCCTTGGGTATGTCTAAGAGCAGGTCAGACAGACACTTCTGGGACGGCTCAGTCAGGAATGATGCTGCCTTGAGAAGGGCCCGAACAAGAGAGATGCTGGAGGGCTTTGCCAGCCCGATTGTACTCTGAATCCGCAAATGGTTTTGGCCATAAGTGGTGGGAAGAAAGCAATTTTGGAAACATCAGAGTGGTCCAAATGTTTCCTACAGGAAATAGTTTGGGTTTTCATTTCCAATTAACCTTTGGGGGCCAATTCGAGGAAGGTTATGTAAGTGTTTAATAAACTCACCTACCCTGAAAACAAAGAAAAATATTCTAGCCGATCCAGTGCAAAGTTATCCTCAGGCTTTCATTTCAGCCAGGGGCATTTGCATTCAGGTCCTCCAGTGCCACAGGCCAGAACTGGTCACCAGGTCAGACCGGGCCCGCAGACCGGCCCCACACAGACTCGTAGCATCACGGAGCAGCGGGGCTGGCAGGGAGCTCCCGAGCTCCCGTCTAGTCCAACCCCTGCCTGAGGCAGGATCCAAACTATCCCCGATAAAACCCGTTATCTAAACTCTTCGTAAAACTTGACCTAGGCACAGCACCAGGCATCACACCCGACCCGCCATGGGGAAAGGAGGGGGGGCCACAGTAGCCAACATCTTGCTTTTGCAAAACGGTGTTAATATACGCTCGAGACATCCCAGGCAGAAGAAGGCAAAACCCCCTACTATGTACCAATGTGACCATGGGGGAGAATCCCTTCCTGACCCCAAGTGCAGCATCGGTCTGCCCCTGAGCGCAGGGGCGAGACCCTCCAGCCAGGACCCCTGGGTTTGAATCCCAGCAGGAGCACTGGCACAGCACTGTCCCCAGCCCCAGATCCATCCTCTATGAGCTGGATCCAGTCCATGGGCCATAGATTTGACAAGCCTGGTTTTTGGTGAATGAAACAGAGCTGAATCTGTTTGCCTCTTAGAAAGAAAATTTTATCAAAATATCATTTTGCTTGGCTGCTGGATGGACCGATCCAGACCCTCTGCACTGTCAGAGGAGTTACCAGCTCTGGGACAGGGAAAAAGATGGGCGGCTGCTCATCCCGTTTGCTGATGACTATGAGATCATAGTCGATTAAACGTAGCAGCTCAAGAGAGCTGCAAGCTGTGCTGTACCCAGGGAGCAGACTGAGGCTGTTTCCTGGGCTTTCTGCGACAGCATGTACTTGGGAACAGAAACCCACCTGCTAACGTCCCCAGCCAGCAAAGCTGGGTCTTGGCGTGCAGGGAATCAGTGCAGAGATATCTGCAGGCTGCCCGGTCCTCATTACTGCCCCAGATCCACCAGCTGGCTTGGGGGAGGCATTCCCAGAGCACAGCCCCTGTTTCTGGTGAGGGGTGTGGGATGCATGATGATGCACGCTCCAAAGTTTTGACTCCGTGGGGCGTCTCCAGGCATGCTCATGGGTACCCGGTCAGACAGCACCAATTCATCTCACCCTTCAAACTGCAGCAAAGTGAATTATTGGCAGGAACATTCGAAGATCTTGGGGGTGCTATTATTATTATTGTTGTTGTTGCTGGTATTGCTACTATTTCCTCCCCGCTGCCCTGTCTCATGGCTTGAGATGGCCATTCTCTGTGTGCAAACAGGATTTCCTGTTGGAAATTCAAGCTTGTGAAACCGGCTGCAGGTCTAGGCCTGCAGTTTTCTTCTTGTGCTGGAGGATAAAGCAACCCCACGGCCTCATTCTGCTCTGTGCTCAACTTTCACCACTTTGTGTTGGCCCCTGGGGAGGGGAAAGGGGCTCTCAACTTGCTGGGGCATCTTCCATACAGGAGTTTCCTTGCTTGCCTCATCCAGCCAGAGCCTTGGTTGCTTCTTCTTTGCAGGCATCTCTATATCTCCCCAGGCTTGAGGCATGTTTGCTTGGCTGTCCCAGCCTTGCAATGGATGGGCCCCCCTATACAGCTCTGTGCATTTATTACCATACCCCCATCATGCTAGCAAAGGCAGCTGGGATGCGGTGGTACCTCGTGGTCCAGAGCTGACTCTGACCCATTGAGAGGTCTTTCTGCAACTGGGAGGAGACAGAGATGGAAATATCTGGAGGGACGGAGAAGGTGCCGTCGCTGGGATGAACTGAGGAGAAGGGTCTTGTGCAGACAGAAGCATTGAAAGGCCTGGGGAGCGTGGGCTTCAGGGTGAAGCCACCAGCTCCTTTCTGGTCCTGGCCTTGGACTTCTCTACCCTTGCCATCCTGCCCACCCATCTTGCACAGTCTGGTTGCCTCTCTCTCCCTCTGACTTTCCCAGCTCGGAGGTGGAAGTCAGCATCCTGGCAGGGTTTTGCACATAGAGCAAGGACCTGCCAGAACAGCCAGCGCCAGCGAGACACCGGAGATAGGCAGGGGAGAATTCCCTTCTGGACACTAGTGTGATGCCACAAGGGATGAACTGGGCTCACAACCTGCCTCCCAGCCCAGGTGAGCACTGGAAATGATTTACCGATGACCTATGGCATCACTTCCCTGTGCGCTGAAATGCAGCTGCCTCTGGAGTAGTCTCATAGAAATGAGGGTTGAAAGGACCTCAGGAGGTCACATCGAGTCCAACCCACTGCTCCAAGCAGGACCAGCCCCAACTCCATCATCCCAGCCAAGGCTTGGTCTACCCGGGTCTTCAAAACCTCCAAGGATGGAGAGTTTACCACCTTGCTAGGTAGCCTGTCCCAGTGTTTCACCACCCGCCTAATGACAAGGCATTTCCTAATCTCCAACCTCAACTTTCCTTGCTGCAGCTTGAGCCCATTGCTCCTTGTCCTGTCATCTGCCCCCACTGAGAACAGCCCAGCTCCATCCTCTTTGCAACCCCCCTGCAGGGAGGTGAAGGCTGCTATTCAATCCCCCTCGGTCTTGTCTTCTCCAGACTCAATCAGCCCATTTCCCTCAGCCTCTCCTCCCCAGTCCTGTCCCCCAGCCCCACAACCATTTGCATTACCCTCCACTGGACTCTCTCCAATGTGTCCACATCCTTTCTGTAGTGTGGGGCTCACAACTGGACACCGGACTCCAGATGTGGCCTCCCCAGTGCCGAACGGAAGGGAAGCACACCCAGTTTTTAACAGCTCTCAGCAAGGTGGAAAAGGATGCTGCATCCCGTGGAGCTGTGGAGCTGGGGGCTCAGTGATTTTTGCCCTGCTTGGACTGTAGGAATAATTCCCTCCTTCTTGCAGAAAGGTGGCATGGCATCTTTCCCGGGCCCGAGAGCTCAAGGCTGTTGGTTGTCGTGCATCTCCTCTGAAGCCCTGGCTGAGCTAGGACCTCCTTGGCAGAAGCATTTCTTGCCTCCTCTCTTCTGCCACTGGGGCTCTTGCTTGGAGGGGATTTTGGGCCGTGCCACGAGGAGTTGAAGGATGTGGGGAGCTCTGAGCTGTGTAGGTCTCAGATCTGGGGGGCCTGCCCCATGGCTGGGGGGCACGGAGGGGGAATGAGTGAGCTGGGCCAGGCAGGCAGGATCCCCCTGAAATCACCCCGAGAGCATGGATTGATGCCTGCCAGGGATCCAGCTCCTTGTGCCTTATGCAAATAGATGGCAAACGTCCATGGGGGGGGGTGGCTTTCGGCGGCTTTTCCAAGGCCCCGGTGATAAGGCGCAGGCTGAAGCTGGCTCAGCGTGACCCTGGACCGCCTGGCCGTGCCCAAACAAGGTGCCCGGCGTGTCTGTGACCCTGAAAACAAGTCTAGAGCTATAAACTCTCAAGCACTGCACTTTCCCTTCCTTCCCCCTATCTTTGCCCTTCTAGCAAGCCATCTCGCCCACGTTTCTTTCCACGAACAAGTGCTGACTGCTCACACAGCCGACACTCCTGCTGTAGTTCAGAGGGTGGGGGGAAAATACCCTAAAGTTTTCATAGCAAAGCCAAATGCATAGGAAATAAATGCAGTCCCCTTCCCCCAACTCTGAGCCTTTTTCTCGTGGGCTGTACTTTGAAGACACCATCTGAGCATCAGGCGCACCGGGTCTAGTCTAAAGTACAGCCTGTTCTTGCAACAAGGCTTGGTAAATCACTGAGCGCAGCAGCCGGGGCTGGGAGGATGGGAGCAGAGCAGCTCTTCCAGCTGTCATCGGCAAGCGGTCCTGTAGCACCCTCTAGTGCAGCCTCGACACTCCTGTACGCCTTAATTCGGGTCCTTTGCTCTATGCAGACCTGGGTAAAAAGAAGCTAAAGATAGATGTTGGACTTCTCCCTGGACACAGCCTTTTATCTTGGGATGCCGCCGGCCCATTTAAGTGCCTGTGAAGTATCCAAGAGGACCCGTTTTCCCAGGACAACCCTAGCTCATTGGGGTTCATTGCCAGGCAAGCTGCGGGTGGAAAGGATGGTCCTGCACCGGTTTTGGTGCGAGTCAAAGCCCGGGATAAACAGATCTGGGGTCAAGCCCCAGCCCCCTGATTCCTCCAGGGATGATGTCTTTTTTCCTGAAATCCTACAGACAAACCCACTGTCCCCTTTTACTTGTGGGGTATCCAAGAGGGCCCTTGGGATGCACCTGACTAATTCAAGGTCATTGCCATTCATGCTGGGCACCAGCTTTGCATGTCATAGAGTCCTAGAGAAGCGGGGCGGGCAGGGAGCTGCACAGGTCACAGCTAGTCCAACCCCTGCCTGGGGCAGGATCAGCCCTGTGCAAACCATCCCAGACACATCCATAATTGCAGAAATCCTAGAGCAATGGGGCTGGAAGGGAGCTGCAGAAGTCACATCTAGTCCAAACCCCTGCTTGAGGCAAATCAGCTCTATCCAAAGCACCCCGGATAAATCCGCAATTTAAACTCTTAGCAAAACTCCCGTCAACCCTGATGCAACACCAGACGTCACACACACCACACATCACACCCACCCCTGCCACAGGGGACCACCGCTGGGCTGTGTGGTTACACTCAATCAGAACTGACTCCAGGGTGACATCTGTTTTGACCCCGTGAACCCTCGGACGTGCAAACCAGGCAGCCTCTGCTGCAAAGAGGATGAGGCTGCAATACGGGGAGGGTGCCACGCTGGGGAAGGGGCCGCGCTGTTCTCACCCCACTCCCACCCTGCTTTCCCCGCAGGAGGTCATCAACTCCATCCTTCTGAGCGGCCGCATCGGGCCCGACATCGAGCTGGCCGAGTGCTACGGGCTGCGTCTCAAGCACGTCAAGTCGGACGAGATCCACTGGCTGCACCCGGCGCTGACAGTGGGGGAAGTGCAGGAGAAGTACGAGTGCCTGCATCTCGAGGCCGAGTGGAGGTGAGCGCTCGGGGAGGGGGGCACGCTGGTCCCATCTCCGTCCTAGGAAAGGACACTGCCAGCAACGGGGGCTGACCAAGCTGGACACCTGGGTTTAGTTTTATGGGGTGGGTCCCTGTGCATCACGGGACCGTCTAGGATGGGGGGTGTCAGGTCAGGACTGAGGAGCTTAAGCAGTGCTGGTTGCAGGGTCTTGAAGGGGTCTGAATCGTTGGGGTATTATTTTCTTTAAGGTATGACCTTCAGATCCGCTACCTGCCTGAGGATTACATGGAGCGCTTCATGGAGGACAGGACCACTTTGCTGTATTTCTACCAGCAGGTCAGATCATCTGTGCTCTCGAGGCTGGTCCTCCGCAGGCCTAAGTGGGGTCCATGCCACTTACCTGTATGGCCCCATGATGAATCTGTGCTGCTGTGTCCCTTGCCTTGGGTTCCCGCATCTCCTGGCCTTCACATCTGAGCACCCACCCATTCATAAACCAGGGGAATACGTGGGTTTTTCTTCCTTTTGAAACCAGCAGCCCCAGAATCAAGGCTGGGAGGGACGGTCAGGATCATCTAGTCCAGGCCCTTGTCTAGGATCCAGACAGATAGTCCCCCTGCCCAGCTTCTCCTAGGCACCTCCAAGGATGGAGACCCCAGTGGTGGGCAGCTGGTCTCGCTGTCTTCTTCAAGGATAATAGCTTGTTACCAGCTTGTTGAAAGATGCAACTTTGCTGGCCAAAAAAGCAGGTTTTAGGCTGGTGAGATAGGTATTGTGTACTCTATTCAGAGCAGATGCGGCGGCAGCTGAGGCCTGGCTGCAGATCAAGGTGTTCTTGGTGCATGTGGGATGGTGATTCATTTAGTGACGGTGTCTGTAGGTGTCGGCGGGTTTTCGGCATGCAGTTGTCCTTCTGGTGGAGGACCCTGGTCCCTAGAAAGCTGATGTGGATGTTGGAGCAGTCCAGAGAGAGTTGGCTGGAAAGGTGGTAGCTTCTGAAGGTCTGGTGGGAATCAATAAATAAGTCCAGATGGTGAATAGTAAAGATTGGGAGGTGCATTTTCCTTAAAAAACTCTTTTTCAGAGAGGCTCCTGGAGAGGTTGCATATTGAGGGGCCGTCTCTGTGCTCAAAGTCATTCACTGAAAGTAAAACCACCGAGAGTGATGAGTTGTGTAATATGCTGCGGTTCGGCATCCCTGTGTTGCCCCGTTCTTGCAGTTACTTCAGGCAGGCTGCAATGCCTTCATGGTGTAGGAAGTTTGTATGCATGCTGCAGATATCACCGGTGGCAAGGAAGTGGTTTACGTTGTGGATTTGATGGAGGAAGTCTGCTGCGGCTTGTAGAAAATTGGCCTTTTCAGTATGAGCGGTCTGACGATGGCTGCTAGAAACCCCTCTGGTTCTTCAGTGAGTTGGATACAAGAGATCTGCCAGGGTTTCCCTGATTGTGAATCCTGAAAAACTCTTGTGAAAAATATTCCTAGGGTAGGAGAATGAGGGATCAGTGTGTGCATTGTGGGGATGGAGGTGAGGATGCCTTTCAGTCCAAGAGCGGTGAGGAGTCTCTTATAATAGCCAGCTCTCCACCTCCTCAATGCAATCCTTACATGCATGGGTGACTATCTCCTCCTTTATCCCCTGATTTGGATGGCTTCACTTTCTTCCAAGTACTGTGTGGGTCTATTAACCGGGGGGTTGCAACTTCTGTCATCCTGGAGATGTGTTTGTGGCTGGGAAGGGAGCGCAAGGTGGGTTTCTGGAGACTGTGGATGAATTGGTGCAAAGTCAGTGGAAGAATCCTTCTGATTCCCCATGCACCGGTGTCTTCTCCACGTAGATGACCTTGAAGAGAGCAGATAGCTCAGACTGAGTCATGGGTGGGTGCTGCTGGTGTCGTGTTGGGTTGCTGATGGTGTGACAGGTGCTATTGTCCGCGGACAGAAGGCTGCAGGCAGTAAATCCCCCGCAGATGATGTCTTGTTTCTTGCTTGAGCTTTTCAGCTGGGCTTTGTCGTTCACGGAGGTTTGTGGCTTTCCCAGCTGCAATGGCAGATGCCGGTGTCACCTGGGCTGCAGCTCTTGTAGCATTCCTGTTTTTAGCTGCGATGGCTCGAGGAACAGGCCAGAAGCATGAAGCTGCTAAAGTAGAGAAGTTTTGGGCTGTGCCCGGTGGGATCCCTTCTGCCCTGAGCATCCAGGAAGCCCAAGAGAGGATGCTGTTCCTTGTAGATCTAAACTCTCCAGTCAGGACATGTCTCCTGGCCCCATGCCTGCTGCATTCACACTCAGGCCGCTGGCTACGAGCGGGGCCAGGGCAACCTGGGGATGGAGGTGCCCAGGCTCTTGATGTCTCCCTCTCTCTCCTTGCAGCTCCGGAGCGACTACATGCAGAACTACGCCAGCAAAGTGAGCGAGGGCATGGCCCTGCAGCTGGGCTGCCTTGAGCTCAGGTACGTGTCGTCTGGAGTAGGGACGAAGGGCTCTTTTTAGCCAGACACCTGCCTTTGGGGGCTATGGAGGATCTGGCTGAACTCTCAGCTCCCACCGCATCAGGTGGCCACGAGCCCCACGCTTTAATGCCACGTTGGGTGGAAAAGAACTGCCTGGTGCTCATTTTAAACCTATTCCCTGCTCATTTCTTTCTGTAACCCCCTGTTTTTGCATGCTGAGAGGCAGTCACTAATAAATCCCCAGTGACTTGCTCTTCACCATTTAGTATGTTGTGAACCCTTCTCAGGTTCCCCCTCAAGCATCTCTTTTCTACACCGACCAGGCCTGGCCTCTGCAGTCTCTCCTCATGCCACTCATCATCCTTGTTGCCCTTCTCTGCACTTTCTCCGGTTCTTCTACCTCCCTTTGGAGGTGCAGGGACCAGAGCTGGGCACAGGATTTAAGGGGTGGATGCCCCATGGGCTTATAAAGGGGCATCATGATACTTTCCCTACTTGTGCCCGATGTCTATTCCTCTGGGACACAGTGAGTTGGGAAAGTGCAAAGCAGTCTGCATGTTGCCTTGCACCAAGATGATGGATGCAGGCATATGGAGCAAGGCCAGGAGAAAGAGGGTGCTGAAGAAGGAGGCATGGTCAAGATACAAGCATGCACTGGTGTCACTAGTGTTGTGGGAGCGTTAGACGAGGGGAAGCACTGTCGAGATCCCTCTGCTCCTCCTGTCCGTGGCCGCAGCTGGGAGCAGCGTTGAGCCTGGAAGTCACGGCAGACGCTGAGTACCAGGCGATGCAGATGCATATTCGGTGCCAGGAGATGCAGCTCGTGGGCTGGGCAGTCTTCTCACTGGGAGGAGGAAACTGTCCAATGTCACTGGTGTCTGCCCCCATGCACTAAGGCCTTCCTTGGGCCTGTGGGACCCGCTGCCCGGGGGGATGGAGGCGTGGGAGATGGGGGCATCGATGTCTGACCCCCCGCTCTCCCCGCAGGAGGTTCTACAAGGACATGCCTCACAACGCGCTGGATAAGAAGTCCAATTTTGAATTCCTGGAGTAAGTGGGTGCATTTTAGCACCCGTTATTGTATTTTTCCTTCGCTTCTCCTCCCCTGGTCTCCACAGAGACCTCCTCAATGTAACCTAAAAACCATGGTGGTCCGGGGAGAAGGGCAGCTCCAGGGTTGGGCACAGCCCAGTCCCCATCCCTAGCCTGGGTTGCAGCAGCACCTGGCGCTTGTATGAAAAGCAAAAAGCCCCCCAAACCCCGGATGTGTAGCAGCAAAAGGGAGGGAAAGTCCTTTCCAGATGCATGGGGCAAGCACCAAAGCCCAGAAGCCTGGAAAATCCCCATTGTAGAGCAAGGCATTTTATTAGTGGATGTTAAGAGGGATGAACCAAAAAGATGACAAAGCCAGGAGGGAAATACAGAGGGACTAACGTAAGAGGGACGGGGGTGAAGAGGGGTGATCTGTCCACCCTCCTCTTGAACACCTTCCACCTTCCCGGCATCTCTCCCGCTGTCTCCCTGCTCTAACAGTGAAGACTTTTCTCCTGAGATCCCAAATCCTGGTCAGGATGATGGAGTGGGACATCCTTGAGAGGTCCCAGGATGGTACAGAGACAGGCGTGCCCCTTAAAATGCTACTGAAAAGCCCCTTCCCTGCGCTACCGGGACCACTGATGGGGCTGAGGGTCCAGCACCCATAGCTCATCAGCCTGGGTTTCTCTCTGGTGCCAACATTGGTGCCAACTGGGTGCCCCCCTCACTGGGAAGGAGATTGAGAGCTTCACTTCAGTTATCCATCAAGTGGGGATGAATCCAGGCATGACTTGCTAGCCAACGGAGGGCAAAACCTTCACGACCCCCTTGTAATACCCTGGTCTAATCATTGTCCCTCTCACCAGCCACAGATCAGGAGGGCTCATGGTAAAATACCGTATTTTCTCACATACAACACCCTGGAATCAAATACACCCCTTGTGTTGGAAGGCAGAATGAAGAGGAAAAATAATCTTTCCTTGGTTTAAATAACTAAGCAACAGCCCCTGGGCTTGCTCGTTTGTGCTGTTCCCTGTGGGTGGCTGCAGATTTTACTTTTGCTTTGGCCCCGTAAGCAGCCAAAACGGCTCTTCCCACATTTCTGGCATGCACTGCACACTGTAAATTCCAGCAACTCGTTTTTGGGAGGAAGGTACATGTTGCCTGCGTGAAAATACGGTACCCCGAGCTCCTCTAAAATGCTGATCGCAGGGGCGGCTTTGGAGACGGTCCTGGGGGATGGCTAATCTCGCGCTCTCTGCCTTCCAGGAAGGAGGTTGGGCTGGACCTGTTCTTCCCAAAGCAGATGCAGGAGAATCTGAAGGTGAGGGGCGTCTCGGGTGGGACACCTGGGGTCAGATTTGGGAGGAAATGCTCCTTCCGAGGGCAGCTCTGTGCATGCCGCTTGGGAGAGGAGGGTGAAACACGGCCCCTGTGGAAACCTGAGACTCCGCGCTAAGGATTAGACTCCATGCTGGCCCTCTACTCTCAGCCCATTTACCTTACGTGGAGAAACTTCCATATAATGGGTCTATCTAGCCTTGTCCTCTGGAAGGACCCAGCTCGATGTGGGAAAGCCCTGCCAGAACTGAGTGCAGGTGTGCACCGGGAGCGCAGGGCTTTGGGTTGAGATCCAGGCATAGTGCGAGCCCCTGGATGTGGGGATAGAGGGGGATCAGCAGCACTTGGGTGAGGCCTGGCAGGGCAGGGCTGGGGCTGCAGGTCAGGACTGAAGGGAGGTGCATGCTTTCTGGCGAGGGTATTTATCCCGAGCTGGGGCAGGGCAGCGGGGCCCAGCTGACTCCCTGGCCTCGATCCCGCAGCCCAAGCAGTTTCGGAAGATGATCCAGCAGACCTTCCAGCAGTACGCCTTGCTGCGCGAGGAGGAGTGCATCCTCAAGTTCCTCAACACGCTCGCCGCCTTCACCCACATCGACCAGGAGACCTACCGCTGCGAGCTGGTCGTGAGTCCTTGCCCTGCGGCCGGGTCCTGGGGCGTGGGGCTGGGGCTGGCATATACAGTGTGCCCCTTTATCATCTCCCCCTACTACCCATCGGTTGTGGTCTTTCCCCCTCGTGCCTTTACAGACAGCAGCCTTGTCCCCTTGTAGCCTAAACTTCATGAGGCAAGCCCTGCTATGGTCTGGGCAATATGGGGTTTTCTTTGGAGAAGTCATCGGGGAGGAAATGCAGAGCAGAGGGCATCACAGTGCCTGGCAGGAGACCTCTGCTCCCTGATTGAACCAGCCTGGGCAAATGCTCTTGAAACCTGCTTTTGAAACTTCACAAACTCCCCTCCTTCGCGGCTCCCAAAGCATCACAGGCACCCTCCCTTTCTCCAGGGAAAACAAGGGACCGAGGGCACAGTCCATGTCTAGCCATGGCATGAGGAGGCCTAGTGGCCTCCTCTGTACTGGGTCCAGTTTGGACGTGTGTCTCCAGAGCCCGGATGCGAGCATGGGTGATGGACGAGTGTACGGTAGTCCCAGCCCCGCGGCCACGAGCACTTCCACTTATATCTAGATGTCTTGTACAGGACCCTCCATCCGAGGGCTGAATTGTACCTTAGCAAGGGCTTGCTTCTGCAGTGCTGTTTCACTAGAGCCATGCTTGCTTTTCACCACGGTGAAGGCAAGATTGCCTCTCCCTGCTTGGTCTCTGCAGAAGGGCGGAGGGCAGCGGGGAGCTGGGAGCCCCACAAGGACCACTGATAGCATGCCGCTGGCTATTTCCAAGCTCCCGGCTGTGCAGGTCACTGTAGAGGCTGGGGAAGAGACGAGGGTGTAGGGAGGATGGCAGCATGGAGTTGCATTGCTCCAAATGGGAACGCGCCATCTGAGCCCTCCGCTTTCTGCTCTGGGACTGAGCCCTGGGAGGCACCTTCGGGGCAGCACCAGGGAGGGGGATAATTCCCTGCAGGGCAATGCCAAGCCATAGGAAACATCCCCCTGGGGGATTTCTTTCCTCCTGGAAACCCTTGCTGTGGCTGCTAGTCCATGTGGGTGCTAGTGCATTTCCCCTTCCAGACGGGTCGGGCTGAGCAGAATTCACCCCTGTGATGCCGAGAGGGTCCTAAGCATCCACACACACCCCTGGGGCTCTTGGAAGGGGATGTCAGGAGGTCACATCCAGTGCAACCCCCTGCTCCAAGCAGGACCAGCCCCGACTACATCATCCCAGCCAAGGCTTTGTCTACCCAGGGCTTCAAAACCTCCAAGGGTGGAGACTCCTCCACCTCTCTGGGCAGGTTGTTCCAGTGCTTTGCTACCCATGTCCAACCCAGCGTCCCAGTACAGAGCAAGCTGGAGTGAATGCATGTTCCCCTATGCACTGGGAGGCGCAGGTTCAAATCCTGTCTCCACTAACAGCAGGGCAATGGGTTGGCTTGGTATCTGCAGCATGGACCCAATTTGCAGCTACGGGGAAGCTAATGTAGCAACGTTTGGTGTCTCACCTCCATGGGCCCTGCAGGGGCTCAGCTGAGTTACCCTGGCCCAGAAGGGGTCTCAGTCCAGGCCCCTTGGGCAACCCATGCCTCCCTGCTGCCCTTCTCTAGCCAACCTCCTGCTGGAGATAGTGGGACAGGGGAGCAAAGTCCATAACGGTGTCCTTCTTTTCCCTTCCAGCAAGGGTGGAACATCACCGTGGACCTGGTCATTGGGCCCAAGGGTATTCGGCAGATGACGAGCAAGGAAGCAAAGGTACGGAGGGGGTCAGGGCTGGGTGGTCCCTGGAGGAGGAAGCGGGGATACATACACCTACCCCTGCCCACAGCTTGGGTGTGGGTCCTGCTGGCTATGGGACAGGAGCATGAGTTTTGCTCTTTGTAGGGCCTTGCTGGGTGTGGGTTCTAGGAAACAGGGCCGGCGGGGACCTTGGGAGTCCATCTGGTGCAGCCCTCTATTCAAGGCAGGGCCATGCCTGTCTGACCTGCACTTTAAACCATCCAGTGATGGATGCAGGTCTCCAGGAAGTCACTTGGTGATTAATGAAGTCAGATAGCAACACTAATGGAGTCCATTGGTGTCATGGTGGACTCCATCAGCGTTGCTATCCGACTGCATTAGTGTTGTTTGGGAGTCACGTCAGGATTTCTCTGTCTGGAGACTGGCTATGATGCGGCCCTAATGGCCTCCCTGTTACAAGAAAGAGACCACAGGCTTGGTGGCAAAGAGCGGGGACAGGTTTATGGTCCACAAACAAGTCTAGACACTACTGTCCATGGCCAGCCAGTCCATGGCACTAGCCGGGTCATATACAGGTGGTGCAGGCATGAACACAAACCCCTAAGCCCAGTGCAGAGTATGCAGCGTTCCCATGTCCCTTTGTGTACATGGATCAGATGGCTTCTTGTTTATAGCAGACACATCCCAGTGCTCACCCATCACTAACACATCTTTAGGTTGGATGAATGGACTGGAAGGTGGATAGAAATCTGGATGGGCTGTCAGGCTCAATGGGTGGTGATCAATGGGAGCTGGCAGCTGGTATCAAGTGGAGTGCCCCAGGATTTGGTCCTGGAGCCAGTTTTGTTCAATATCTTCATGAATGATGTGGAAGATGGGATGGATGCATCCTCAGCAAATTGCAGATGACACCAAGCTGGGGGGTGCAGTAGATACACTGGAGGGCAGGGCTGGGATTCAGAGTGACATTGGGGGATTGGGCCAAAAGAAATCACATGAGGTTCAGCAAGGACAAATACAAAGTCCTGCACGTAGGAGGGAACAATCCCATGCACCGGTGCAGGCTGGGGGTGGCCGGCTGGGCAGCAGCTGTGCAGAAAAGGACCTGGGGATGGCAGGGAACAAGAAGCTGAACAGGAACCTGTATACAATTGACCCGGAGAAGCAAACCAGGGATCATCTTCTGAGATGCCCTGTAGCACCACAATGCACCTCACGCGATCTGGCAACACCAACACCAGAAGCAGTGGCCTGTGCAGGGCATTGGGAGCAGGCCAAACAGAAAGGGTGGACTGGAGACACAGTGAAGAAGACCCTCTACCTGTTGGGCTTGGAGGCACCTCTCAAACTAACGAGCTACTTCCCCAGCACTTCTGTGCATGCCATGTAGCAATGCCTCATTCTGTATTCTTTGAGGGCTGCTTTGGTTCAGTGCACTAGCAAGGCCTCTGCATGACTTGTGTATGGCCTGAGCTGTGGTTGTGTTAATCCATATTCCAGTGGAGGCTCAGTCGCTTCAGGACTGAATCACCCTCCGAGCAAGAGGCTAGTTCCTAAACCCCAGGCCCTGTCTCCCTTGTTGCAATGTATCGTGAGCATTTATCCCATGGTGGATGGGACTGATGGACCAGACTTGCAAGGCTCTGATTTGGGCCTGTGGGGCGTTGGGCTATGCGCGTGTGTATGTCTGTGTTGTGTGTTGGGGGGGTACCTAAGTCCCTCTGTATCTTCTGACTCTGCCGGGGTGACGGGTCCTTTGCAGCCCACCTGCCTCGCTGAATTCAAGCAGATCAAGTCCATCAAGTGCTCCAGCATGGAGGAGGGCACAGCCGTGCTGCAGCTGGGGCTCTCTGGGACCCCCCAGGTAAGAAGGAGTGCCGGGCCCCGAGTGGGGATCTCTGCAGGGTGTGAAGCCTGGGAGAAAAGGTGGAAGGGGAGGGGATGCAGGGGAGAGAAGCGGAGCACCTGGGGATTGCACCGGGATGACGGGAGCAGGGAAACCAGGACGTTGCTCCTGCCCTTCGGGACTGGGGGAGATAAGGTCACACCCAACCCGGCTGGAATAGCGAGCCCTATTACCGTTCCCATCCCCTTCTCTTTGCTGGGGAGACCGAGCAGCTGAAACCTGGAGTTACCCCAGGGATCTGGGCTGTGACCAGCTTGGATGCCCCTGGGGATTAGAGCTGGGAAGGGGGTAGTTGGTCTCATTTTAGGGTCATCTCTAGCCGAGCCCATGTGAACGTGCCCATGTCTAGACACTCACCTGGATTTCACCCCCCTCCTTTCCTCGTTTCGCAGTCCCTGACCATTAAAACCTCCTCCCTGGCCGAGGCGGAGAACATGGCTGACCTCATCGACGGCTACTGTCGCCTGCAGGGAGACCCGGAAACCTCCCTCATCCTCCGTCCCAAGAAAGGTGAGACGTTCCCCGTGATGTTCCCGAGCTCCTTCGCTCCCTGCCGGCACCGGTCGGTCCCTGCTGAGAGCCTCCTTCAGTCACCTCTGCCCATCGCTCCTTCCCCTGAGCCTCCCAGCCCCAGCCCCGTCCCCCCGCACATGTGGGGTGCACATCTGTCCTGTCTGAGACCTGTCGCACTCATTGCACTCGTGGTCTGTGCTGGAGTCTGGCCTCCCAGGTGCACAAGCACCCGGGGTCTGGTAGATAAAGATACTCAACAAAACCCCTTCTCCCTGCTGTTCCCCACAGAGACCGAGAAGAGGATCAGCCTGCCCCAGATCCCCATGCAGTAAGTAGTCATCGCCATCCAAGGGATGTCCACAAGCAGCTTGCAATGCCAAGGAGCTGCTTCATCTTCCAGAAGACCCCGGGCTGTCACCGCGTGTGGCCATCAGAGCCACCCGTGAGCACGGGGCAGCTGAGACAGGGTTCAGATTGCACCCAGGAAACCCCCTTGATGGAGGAAGGAGATGGAGGGATGGGTGGGGAGATGGAGGGACAGACAGGGGCTGGATGAACTCTGAGCTGCATTGTTCCCCGTCGCTTAGGGACGTCGAGGACAGACGGTCCACCCTGACTGAGAGCATGAGCATCGGTGAGTCTCGTCCTCTTCTTCCCCTACCCAAGTGCAGCCAGGAGCCGGCAAGGCAACCAGACAGCTCACAGAAGATGGAGGGACAGGAGCTTTGTGGCTGGCGACAGAGACAGGATCTCAGCTCCTTTTTTAACAGGGACCAGCCATACACACACACACACGCATGCAAGCTTTCCACTTTGGGTCTCTCCTATTGCCCGTCTGCCCTAGGGGCTAACAGAGTCCAGCCTGTCCAGCCCTTCTCCGTGCAGCCCTGGGCTTGGTCCCATCTGCCTCCAGGATGCCTTCCCCTGCAGATCTAGTGCAGGGCACAGCCAGGCAGCATCCCTTGACCTAGGCAGCCCACCTCTCCCTGGCCCAGCAGATCAAGAAGTGCAAGCCCAGCTGGGATTGCTGCTTTAAAGGCTGCAGCAGGCTGAGCAAGCTGGGGTGGGCAGGAATGGGGGGGCTCTGAGCTGGGACCCTTGGAGTAGCCCCTTGCAGGAGGATATTTGGATGGGAGGAGGAAGCCCAGGGGCCAGGGCTCTGGTGTTTTTTACAAGCAGAAACCTGTACATGAGGCTTTGATCTTATGGCCGCCTAAAATGAGCTTTTTGCCCTAGACTCGGACATCTATGCTGAGATCCCCGAAGAAGGTTTGAGACCCAGGTCTGGAGGTAGGTGCCCTGCCTGCTCCTCCGGCCTTTGCCCTTGGGTCTGCCAGAACCTGGTTGCTGGTGGGACACATCCCAGCTGCAAGGGAGAGGAGCTGGCTGCTCTAGGCCTGTGCCCTGGGCTGAGGGTATCTCCCCTTCCATGTCGTGGGAAGGGAGAACGGGGCTGTCAGCCACCCTAGGAACACAGCTTCCCTGTAGGATAAGAGACAACAGAATAGGATCAGAGTAAATGAGGTTTGAAGGGAGCTCAAGAGGTCCCATCCAGTCCAATGCCCTGCTCCAAGCAGGACCAGCCCCAGCTACATCATCCCAGTGGAGGCTTTGTCTAGCCGGGTCTTCAAAACCTCCAAGGATGGAGACTCCACCACCTCTCTGGGAAGCCTGTTCCTGTGCTACCCTCCTCATGAGGAAGATTTTTCCAATATCCAACCTCAACTTCCCTTGCTGCAGCTTGAGCCCATTGCTCCTTGTCCTGTCATCTGCCCCCACTGAGAACAGCCCAGCTCCATCCTCTTTGCAACCCCCTGCAGGGAGGTGACGGCTGCTATTCAATCCCCCTCGGGCTCCTCTTCTGCAGACTCAATCAGCCCAGTCCCCTCAGCCTCTTCCCCCCAGTCCTGTCCCCCAGCCCCCCAACCATTTTCGTTGCCCTCCGCTGGACTCTCTCCAATTTATCCACATCCTTTCTGTAGTGGGGGCTCACAACTGGACACAGGACTCCAGATGGGGCCTCCCCAGTGCTGAATAGAGGGAAGAATCCCTGCCCTCGATCTGCTGGCAACACTCCTGCCAATGCAGCCCAGGATTCTGTTACCCTTCTTGGCACCACGGGCACGCTGCTGGCTCCTGTTCAGCTCCTTGTCCCCTGTCCCCCCAGGTCCTTTTCTGCTTTGCGTCCAACAGGGCTTTGACTGCAGGGTTTTTCCACCCTGTTCCCTCCATCACATCCAGACTTGCTTGGGGTTGGTGCACAGGGGCTGCCCTAACCCCTTTTATTCCTTGGCCCCAGGCCCACAGCAGTTTTGAGGCACCCAGTTCAAGGGCAGGGGTCCTCAGCAAGCTCAGTTCAGCCTGGAGCTTATTCCTGATTGCTGCAGGGTTGTCTGCATGCTGCCCCCATAGCTGTGGTGGTGACTCGGGCTGCTCTTATTACTTTTAAACCATGCTAAATCACAGGCCTGGATCCGGTCTCCTGGGATCCGTGGAAGTTGCAGCATGGTGCCATGTGGGTTGTGGTCAGATCCACAGCGGGGGGCAGGTGGGGGTATTGGCTTGGGACCGGTACCACCCCCAGGGAGGGTGGAAATTTTCTCAGGGATAGGGGGTTGGGAGCTATGCATCCTGGGATGCTGGAGGACTGGGACATCAGTCTTCGAATACCTGAAGGGCTGCCGTAAAGAGGAGGGAAAGCGGCTGTTTTCTCACGCTGCAGAGAGCAGGACGTGAATCAGTGGCTTGAAGTGGCAGCCAAGTAGGTTTCGATTGGAGATCAGGAAACACGTCTGCGGTGGCAGAGCAGGGAGATGCCGGGGAAGGGGGGACTCTGCATCCCTGGAGGTGTCAAGGAGAGGGTGGACAGACACTGGTGGGGGATGATCTAGGTGCAATGATGCTTGTGCTCTGCTACGGGGTCTCCCAGGCTTATGGGCTTTGCCGGTTGCCCCCTCCCCACATTTCTGCTACATGTCTGGGGGTTTTTAAGCCTCCCCCAGAGGCACAAGGTGTTGGCTGCAGCCCAGACTGGGGATGGGGACTGGGCTGTGTCAGTGCTCCTGCTGGGACCAACCCCACAGGGTCCCGGCTAGAGGGTCTTGCCTCTCTGCTCAGGGTCAGACCCATGCTGCATTTGGGGTCAGAAAGGGATTGGTACAGACTGGGGGGTTTCCCTCCCTCTGTAGCATGGCCCTCCCTCTGCCTGGGACGTTTTGGGTGTATATTAACAATCTTTTGTAGAAGCACGACATTAGCTGGTGTTGTCCCCCTGCTCTCCCTGGGACAGGGTCGGTGTCATGCCTGGTCCTGTGTCAGGGCTGACTGTGTCGTGTTGCTCAGATGTCGGACACTGGGTTTGTCCGGGCTGGTTTGCACAGGGCTGATCCTGCCTCAGGCAGGGCTTGGACTAGATGTGACTTTTGCAGCTCCCTGCCAGCCCCACTTCTTCAGGAGTTTATGACTACAAATTGGTCGCTTGGGGCATTTTTTACACGTCTTCTTGCACACCGCACTGGGCATTTTAATTAGTGAACTGTGCTAATTAAAAGTGCCTGCACGTCCCATGTATCAGCATCACCACGTGTTCCTGCACTGAAAAAAATTGGTGATAGGGTGCTTTTAAGTAAAGCTCAGCTGATGTGTTTATTTCAAAGCGCCCCACTGCCGTTTTGGCAGTGCGGAGGTGCGTGGCAATGCTGATCCACGTGGGGCACGAGGCTGCTGGAGTGCATCACTTTCCACGCTCCACCAGACTCGATTAATCAGATTTCCAGGGCGTTGGAGCAGGCTCCCTGCATGTGTACAGGGGCCCTACATCTCCACAGAGCAGACTGACAACACCCTAGCTCGAGCTAGGTAGGACAGCGCAAAGATAACCCTCACTCAAAGTGGCGTAACTTTAAGCCACTTAGAGAGTACTTAGCACAATTTAACACCCTTTAATGCATCAACGCTCCCATAAATGCTGGTGCAATGGTTTAAAGGTAACCAGTAACACCACCCTCAGTCTGTAAGGGGTATGACCTCACACCCCCTCAACCACACAGTTAACCCATAGTGTCCTGGCACCCTAGGATAAGCTGGGACCCCCCCCCAGATCTCAGTGGGAAGCCTGGCTGGCTGTGCTGAGCCCTCTTGTTCTGTGCTCTCTGTCCCCGCAGTCCAGCAGTATGGGATCTCCCGGGAGGACGTCACTCTGGGCAGGATCCTAGGTGAGGGCTTCTTCGGGGAGGTGTATGAAGGCATCTATACCAACCCGGTGAGTCGGCTCAGCCTTTCCAGCTGCCCCCAGCAAGTGCAGGATGCCGGGGGCGTGGTGTAGGGGCAGCGCGGCCCCCTCTGACCCAGCTTCTCCTTCCAGAAGGGGGAGCGGATCAACGTGGCTGTGAAGACCTGCAAGAACGACTGCAGCCCTGAGAACAAGGAGAAGTTCATGAGCGAAGCGGGTAGGCAGAGCCCTAGGTCCACCCCACAGCCCTGGCTGGTGGCAGAGGATGGGGTGGGGGTGAGCTGGTGGAGAAGCTGGAGCCAGGGAATTTGGAGGAGGTCAGTAGCCCATGGGCTGGCTGTAGGGCAAGAAATGAGCCCAACCAGCTCCTCTAGCACATGAGTGGACCCCAGGGCTATTCTGCCTCCACTGCCGGCTGGCTGTGTGGTCTCTCCTGCTTCTACTGCGGAGGGTCTGGGATGGTCCCAGCGGGGTCCCCATGCCTGAGCCCTTGGGGGGGGCTCTCGTCCGCAGTGCTGATGAAGAAGCTGGACCACCCCCATATCGTGAGGCTCATCGGCATCACGGAGGAGGAGCGCATCTGGATCATCATGGAGCTGTACCCCTATGGGGAGGTGAGCTGGGGGGTACTGGGGGGGGTCTCTCGAGGACCCCTCCAGGGTTACCTGGGACAAGGGGTGCCCCTCAACCACCTCCCTTGGATGGAGGGAGCATGGCTGAGTGGTTAGAGCGGTTTCCCTCCACTGCAAGGACCTCACAGACTTTTTGTGCCTCAGTTTCCCCTCCCCATCTACGCCCATAGGGTTGTGTTCCCATGATCCTCTGCTCTCTCAAGAGACCGGGGTAGGGCTGGAAGGCATTGGGCTCCTGATCTCACACACCACGTCTCCCTCCAGTATCCCCGGCCACCCGCCCGTCCCCACCTGCCCTGCCCACAGCCCCTTCCAGCACAGCTGGGCTTCACCGTCTCCCCACCCTGCAGCTGGGGCAGTACCTGGAGCACAACAAGAACTCGCTGAAGGTGCTGACGCTCATCCTATATGCGCTGCAGATTGGCAAGGCCCTGGCTTACCTGGAGGCTATCAACTGTGTGCACAGGTGAGGGCCGGGGCTTCGCGGGGCTCGGAGGGGCTCTGCCTGCAGCTGGCAGAAGCGGGGCCACGTCCAGATGTCTACCCCTGGCGATGCTGCCCTACAGGTGGGGCCAGGTGGGGTAAGGGTCAATATTTCCTGCTGTAGTCTGGAGAGGGGAGTTTGACAACAGTTTTCAAATAACTGTTGATCACCGACGGAGAGGGGAATTTGGTAACGGTCTTCCCATCCCGGAAGGGCAATGACAGAGAGGATGGAGCGGGACTTTTCTCTAGGAGGAGGAGCAATGGCCTCAAGCTGCAGCAGGGGAGATTTGGGCTGGAGACGAGGAGGGACTTTTTGAGTCTGAGCAGGGTGCCGCCTTGGAGCAGGCTAGCAAGGGAAGCTGCGGGATCTCCATCCTTGGCAGTTTTTTCCAAGAGCAGGTCGGACAGGTGGTTATTCAGGGCTTGAGCAGGGACCTCCTCGAGGTCCCTTCCAGCCCCTCTTTGCTATGA